TTATAAATGGATTTTAATAATAAATAACTTTGAATACTAATAATAAATTTTAATAAATCACAGGACTTCTTCAGTTGTTTTACTTATATGAAATGATTTAATTCATATAACAACACTATATGTTGATATATTTGCTGGCCATTTAACAGCTGAGCAAACTGTGATGCAGGAAGATTAATTAACTTGCACAAAGTCATCACACAGCTAGATGTTGTTGCAAGTATCATTCAATTTTAGTCCATCTGGGAAATACTGCTCTTTAATGTGGGCATGGAGCTCTGGTGGATCAGTGGTTAACCATTCAACTGTTAACATAAAGGCCAGTGGTTCAAACCAACCAGTAATAAAGATGTGACAGTCTGCTTCCTAAAGATGTACAGTTTTGGAAACCCTATGGAGCAGTTCTACTCTATCTTATAGGGTCCCTATGAGTTGGAATCTACTCCTTGGCAAGAAGGTTTTTTTTTTTTTTTTTTTAAACGATGGCACCATACTTTTCATTTTAGTGGACAGGGTGCAAACATTAGGATGGGGAGATGAAAAGTAGGGTGAAGCAAGAGGTAACTTTCCTCCTTCAAAATGTAAGGAAGCACTCATTTTCAGGATTCTGAAAGTGCAAAGACAGCCCTAAACGCCTCCTTACATTTTACACCTTAGAAGCTTCACTGACTAGTCCTTGTCCTGCCCCTGATGAAAGGGAATGGTGGGAAAAATAATTGACAACCAAGGAACTCAAAACCACTTTATCAAATACCTACTTAGCTAGGCAATCTGTTAAATCCTAGGGCTACAGGTTTAAAGAACATACTATCATCATCATAATTATAGAACCATAACTAAAAAGTAAAAGGCTTAAAATTGGTAGGAAGCTGATATATTTTACCAATATTAACGCAATTATTCTCAAAAACAAAGAACAAAATCTTAAAATTTTTAATTGCTTTATATCACACAGACATAGACATAACAGCCAAACTAAAGACCACTTGAAAAAAGAAAGCTACCGACTTGCAGTCACAAAATCTACGTGCAGTTGATTGAATTCTCCACACTCAGTGAGTCTCAATATCTAAGGAAAAGTGAATTTAGAAACAGTTTTCTGAAGTGTTGTTTTTTGAGTAATGACAAAAACAATAGCGGGTGTACCCAGCACAAAGGATATAACATAACAGCCAATATCTTTCCACATCCTGTCCCACATACATAAACACAGGTAACAAATACCCTCCTTGCTACCCCTGTTTTTCCAGGGTGACTACATTTATTCTTTGTATCTGAATCAATCTCCCCAGGCTAATTCCCCTGAATAAAATCCTCTTATCTTATCCACTTAATATCTTACTAAAAGATACTTGTTTTATTCCTCTATGCAAAATTAAATATTCTCTCAATTTTCTTTTAAATTACCTGATATGAATTGTGTAACAGGAACCTATGTGCTAAAATTCATTAAATGTGAGAGAACGAAGCACTGAAATAGGCAGTTGAAAATGTACATTAGAAGACAGTTCATGACATAGTGTTGGAGAAGTTGACTGAGAAAATGCACAGAGAAATACAATAGGATTGACAAGACGTGTAATTAATTTAAAATGAGATTAGATGGCAAAGCTCAAGGTCATCTCCAGCAGTTGCCAATTGCACCAGTGCTTCTGCAGAGTCAGGTATAGCTTGATTTATTCTGGGCTGTGCTCTGAAACTACACTGAAATGATCTTAAAATAAATTTGAAGGAACTGTTTACCATGACTTAACAGGAGGGCATGGGACATACGTATAATGTTATACTCTTAAAGTTCAAACAATTATATTGATCACAAAATCCAATTAGACTCCTCAATACCATTTAAAGAAGAGGCAAAGATATACAGAAAGGTAAAAGGAAATGCACATGTAAACTTACTTTTTCCACAGATGCATCATCAAGAAAAACCACCAGAAGATAACCTAACTGAACTGATGGAATTTGTTCTCTTGGGCTTTGCTGACATGCCCCATCTCCAGTGGTTTCTTTTTGGATTATTTCTAATCATCTATATCATCATCCTGATGAGCAATGGCACCATATTTCTAATGACAAAAATGGATCCTGCTCTCCAGAGTCCTATGTATTTTTTCCTGGCAAATTTTTCCTTCTTAGAAATCTGCTATGTATCAGCTACTCTCCCCAAAATGCTGATGAATCTAGGGACCCAGAGAAGAAGAATTTCCTTAGTTGCCTGTGCTACACAGATGTGCTTTGCCCTTATGTTTGGAGGCACTGAGTGTTTGCTCCTGGCTGTGATGGCCTATGACCGCTACGTGGCCATTTGTAAGCCTCTGCACTATCCTCTAGTTATGAACCACAGGGTCTGTAGCCAGTTGGTGACTGGGTCCTGGACTATTGGAATCCCCATTATGATAGGGCAAACATATCAGATTTTCTCTCTGCCTTTTTGTGGAGCCAAACAAATTAACCACTTCTTCTGTGACATTCTCCCAATACTCAGGCTGGCTTGTGAAGACACCTTTGTAAATGAGATGTTGGTCTACATACTTGTTGTGTCATTTGCCATGGTTCCTTTTCTGTTAATACTTGGCTCCTACGGTAAAATCATCTCCATCATCCTGAAGTTGCCGTCAGCCACAAGTAGAGCCAAAGCCTTCTCCACCTGCTCATCTCATCTTATGGTTGTGGTGGTATTCTTTGGATCAGGCATTATAACATACTTAAGACACAACACCAGACATTCAGAAGGAACTCACAAAGTACTTTCTCTTTTCTACACTATCCTAATTCCTATGATTAATCCCATGATATATAGTCTAAGGAACAAGGATGTCATAATGGCACTGAGAAAATTGCTGTGTAAATAATTCACTCATTAAAGAATCAATCAAATGTATAAGAATTGATTTCTTATGTAGATTTAATCAAATTGCAACAGATATATACATTTAACTATAACTTTTGTTATGGATTGAATTGTATCCCCCCAAAAATGTATATCAACTTTTGTACCCCATGATTCTCAGTATTGTCTGATTGCCTACGATTCTGCCATATAAGTCAGAATTGAGTAGAAGTCAAAAGGTTTGTTTTGATGATATTCCTAGGTATTGCAAATCCTACCTCTATGATGTTAATGAGGCAAGATTAGAGGTAGTTATGTTCATAAGGCAGGACTCAATTCAGAACATTAGGTTGTATCTTCAGTGAATCACTTTTGAGATATAAGAGAGAGAAATGAGCAGAGAGAATGGGGACCTCCTATGACTAAGAATGAAGAACCCTGATGAGAGTGTATTCTTTGTACCCTGCTCCCTGTACTGAGATGCTCCTAGACCAGGGGAAGATTGGTGACAAGGACCTTCACCCAGAGCCAACAGAGAGAGCAAGATTCCCCTGGAGCTGTCACGCTGAATTTGGAATTCTAGCCTCCTAGAGTGTGAAAGAATAAATTCCTTTTGTTAAGCTATATATTTGTGGTATTTCTGTTATAGCAGCACTCGAGAAAAAAGACACTTTGTCTTTCCATACAGTGACAATTATTTCCAAGTTAAAAATCACTTGCAATGTTGTCAGGAGTTTCTGGTTAAATTACTTAACTAATATATGTATTAACAGACAGCAGATCGTTCCACTAATAATTCTATAATTTCATTTTGCAGTGTTCTCCCTCAATAAGAACTTCTGCTTGGGTTAATTTAATTTAGTCAGTTACAATGAATAATCTGTTATATCACTTAGCATAAACCATATCATTCATTTCCATGAGTATCCATACATTTGTGACACCCATTTTAAAAACCAGGTTTACAATATGCATTAATTAAAATCGTGCAGTGTTTCCTCAGTAGCCATGATGTATAGGCTCCAGGACTCCCAAAAATACCAAAATCCGTGGCTGCTCAAGTTCCTTATATAAAATAGCACAATATTTGCATATAACGTATGCATATCTTTTCTTATACTTTAAATCATCTCCAGATTACTTATAATACCTGAGACAATGTAAATGCTATGTAAATAGTTGTTATCCATTATTGTTTAAGGAATAGTGACAAGATACGAGGTGAACAATGCTCAAACAACGAGCGCTGCTGAACAAAAGTTGGCAGTTTGAATCCACCAGCCGCCCCTTGGAAAACCTATAGGGCAGTGCTACTCTATTCTATAGGGTCATTATGAGTCAGACTCGACTCAGTGGCAATGGGTTTTGGTTTTCACCCATGTTCTGTTTTAGACCTGGGTTTGAGTTAGGCCTTTATCACTTAAGTTTTTGTTTGACATGGAAAAGTATTTAATCCTTCAAAGTCACTTTTTATATTTGACTATATATATATGTATAAATACATAAATATATATAGGGTCCCTATGAGTTTTAGTCAACTGAACGGCCATGGGTATATATATAAATATATACATACACACATACATGTATATATATATAAACCAAAAACCAAACCCCTTGCGGTCGAGTTGATTCCAACTCATAGCAACTCTTTAGGACAGAGTAGAACTGTGCTATACGGTTTCCAGGGAGCACCTGGTGGATTTGAACTGCTGACCTTTTTGTTAGCGTCTGAAGTCTTAACCACTCTGCCACCAGGACTTCCATATAACCTTACAGAGTTTTTGTGAAAATTAATGCATTGTGAACAGCACACCTACCTCTGAGTTAGTTTATTGTATGACATTGTTGTATCTGTAATTATGATCACATTTGTGATAAAGGAATTTCCTTTGCATCTTCCCTTATCTACAGCCTTAGGAACAAAGATATCAAAGAAACAATTAGGCAGTTAATTAATCATCACCAAATTGCTTTCACACTCAATATAATCCAAATAAGTATTTGTTCATGTATGCCCTATTTCCAAAATATTTCAAGTGTATTGTTCACTCTTTTAGAGTGTGATTTGAGTCAGTTGTTATTGTTGGTGTTAGCTGTCATGGAATCAGAGCCCGACTCATGGCGAATCAATGTGTTACAGAGTAGAACTGTGCTCCATAAGGTTTATTTGGTGATGATCTTTACAGAAGTAGATAGGCAGGCTTTTTCTGCAGAGCCGCTAAGTAGGTTCAATCTACAACCTTTCCACTATCAGCTGATTGTAAACTGCTTTTGCTCTCCAGGTTCCCTCTTAAGTCAATATATCATTGCCTGTTCTACGATTTTCAGTGGCTTGTATGCTTTCCAATAACCTCTGGGTTAATATAGAAATGATGTATTCTGATTCACTAGCTCTCTGGTGGTGTCAGAAAAATATATTTTAAAAATGTCCCGTTAGACACTGTATCAGTCAGGATGGAGAAGTAGAAGTCTATATTTAGTGACTCAATACTCATGATTCTTTGACTTTGAGTTATGGTTAATAATAAAAAAACTCAAAATATATCATAACTGCCTTTACTGTATCCTCACAACAAACTCTTTTGATTCAGGAATTGTATAAAATATCATTTCCTACTTCCCCTTAAGAACTTTATTTTAAGTAATGGAAAAGTTGAGGTTTGCATTCTGAAAATATTATCATATTCTTAATGAGGAAAATGTTAAAAATATTAGCTACTATCTAAATGCATCCTCTTTTTTGAGTATAAATGTAATATAGTTCCATTAAGTATTGAAAATAATACTGTATATCAAGAAAAAGTTCAGTTAACTTCAAGTGTTATAGCCAAAACTCAGAGATATCATAATCAAGCTTAATACAGTATGTGTTTTAATGACCCATATTCACCCATAAACATTTTTCTTTCAATAGTCTTCTTCGTATCACTCAGTTGCATAAACAAAGATATAAAAGTTATTTGTTATTCTATCACCTGCCACAAGTATCCGTAAATATCTCCAAACTACAGCCACTTTTACATGTGCTCTCTCTTGGAGCAATCAGTGCCATTAAGTTGGTCTTTAGTAGTTTTCACCAAAGGAATCTACTTGTCTCACTTCTTAACTTCCTACAAGCCATTAATCCTAGATTATCTGTAGGGATCTTTAAAAAGTAGAGAAATAGTTTATTTCACTTCTATATTTAAAAATATCCAATAGTTTTATATTACATTACAGACAAAAATCTAACTCTTTAAAAAATTTAGAGAATGCCAAACTCTCCGCCTTCATCTTTTTTAAAATAAAATATATTGCAGGAGTGGGCTGAGCAAGATGGCCAAGTAAGTGTATGCACTCATTTCCTCCCCTAGCAACTAACACACTGAACAATGAATAAAAACAAGCACACACTGAGATCTGAGAACTTTAGATGGCAGTTTTGGTGTTGGAGAGTCTGGATGAGTCCAGAAGCAGGAGAGAGGAGGAGTGGAGATGGCACAGAAAGTGGGAGAACCTACCTGCTAATATTGGGAGCACTTTCTCATTTCAACCACATTGGGACAGGATTGGGCAACACCCCAAAAGAGGGAACACAGAAAGAGAACTAATGTTAGGAAGCTGTGGCCCAGTTTTTATAAGGCGATACAATTTGGCCATGGGAGTTCATTGTCCTTACAATTAGACGGGTGTGAAGGGAAACTGTGGCACCGAAAGAAAGTGTCATTGAATCTCATTGAGGCCCAAGATAGATGGGCACTAGGACCTGGAGGATCTGTACTAGCAGAGGAGCAAGGGGAATAGTTCAGATTACCAGTTGACACAGAGGGAAATGGAAGTCTCCCTGACCATGGGGGACTGTGGGAGAATCTGGGCAGGGGTGCCTATGAAGGAAAGCTATAGAGAGCCCCCTAGCTTTGTCTCAGGAAAATCAAGTCTCACAGCTTATGGTAGCATCAGCGACTAGCTAAACACCTCCGTCCTGTGCATGGGTAATGATTTCCAAAGATTAATCCTCCAGAACTTGTGATGAAACACTGAAAAAAAACCTAAAAAAAGAGTGCCCTCTAGTGCTTCTCAGGAGAAGGCAACAAACGCACTGTTGCTGGGTAGATTATGACATATAGAGACCCCATGGGGCAGAATGTGCTGCCCCAAGGGGTTCCCAGGTCTGTCAGTCTTTGTGGAGGAGAGATGCCAATATTTTCCCCCATGAAGTGGCTGCTCAGTGGAGGTGCTGGCCTTCTGTTTGTCAGCCAGGAGGCTGGCCACAGTACAAGCAGGGTTTCCAAATCAGAAAATTTTGCCACAAAAACCAGAATACCAAATTCATAGTTTAAAATAATAATAATAATAACAAAACTCTCAAGATCAACAAAAATTAGTAAAACAAGCAAAATCACAAGGTAAGAATAACCAAACCATAGCAAAACCTGAAGAGGAGATTTCTCCTATGAAAGTCAGAATAACGCAAAGAATTGATAATTTTCAGACTACGGTGATGAATATGTTCCAAGAAAGATAAAGCACACAGAATACAAATTAGCAGAGATCAGAAAATAAGTGGAGGAATAAAATAAGATTCACCAATAAAACTAAAAACATAACAGAAAGAACTATTTCAACTAAAGAATAAACCAACTGATTTAGAAAAAGCAAGAGAAACACTCAACAATAGAATCAAACAGACAGAAGACGGAAAAAATAAACTAGAAGACAAAATAATTGTCCTTATCAAGTCTCAAGAGACACAAAAGAAAAGAACAAGGAAAAAAAACAATGATATGAAAGGCCTGAAAATAAAAGATTGGAAAAAAATATTCCATGCAACGAATAAACAAAGAAGTTTAGAGGTAGCCTTACTGATATCAGATAAAATAGATTTTAAATTAAAATCTCTTACAAGAATAAAGAAAGACATTACATAATAATAAAACTGTCAATTCAGCAAGAAGACCTAACTATTGTAAATATACATGTACCTAACAGCAATGCACCCAAGTACATGAAACAAATAACTGACCAACAGGAAAGCAGAAA